AGCTTGAGAAACACTGCTATAAACTGATATTACAAAATATTTACATGTTTTAGCTAGAGTTGTACACATCTTAATTTATTAATAAAGCATATAGGGACATTATTAACATATAGGAACAGTAGTATCTGTCAAATTCAACCAGATAAATATGAAAGTAACTTCTGTGGATAACTTTCTTTTTTCTATCTACTTCCTCCCCCAACAGTTCATTTGCACAAATAAATTTCTTTAAAAGTTCTATAGAACTGGGAATTATTGCTTATAAGCTCTAAGCCAATTGTAATTGTGAATAACCCTTCTATGACACCTAGCAGAACTGCAGAGCTAAAAAAATGCTTTTAAGACTGATGATGTTATTAAAGTATCAATTCAATAAAAAATAATTAGCCATGATCAATTATACCATGTAAAAATAGACTCTTTAATTTTTATTCTATCTTGTATATTCTTTGATGTTCTTCTGCTTGAAATGTGGTAGCAGATTCTGAATTTTAAGTCACCTCGACTCAAATGTCTATGTTAACAATGCAAAAAAAAAAGAAATGATTACTTGGAACTTGATAACTGTTAAGAATTAATTTATACAGAAGAAGTATTTTTCACCAATGTGGCCAGTATTACTATATTTTTTGTTATTTCAGTTTGAAAGTAAAAAGCATTCACCTAACTTCAGTTTTCTGAAATGAACTCTTCAGGGTTCATTTCAGTGCCTCTTTGATTATTTGCTATACAAGATGCACAACCACAACTACCTTGTATTTTGTGACGACTTGCCTGAGATCCTATATGTCAGAATTATTTGGTCAAGAAATTTTCCTTATCCTGTGATTTTCTGATGTATTTTCACTGAATTCTTCTGTGTAGCCTTTCTAGTTCTATTGTTTTTAATCTTTAGTTATAATTCTTCAAAAAAATACTTAAATAATTATGCACATCTGAAAACTAACATGTTTTTAAACTTTATTTTATGCCAGGAAATTTTGATAAGAATAGTAGTATTAATAATTTGTAACAATACCTTAAATTTATAGAATACACTTAATATAAAATTTTCTAGCCCATTATAAAGTATCTTATGGCATATGCATGTACCCACAGATATAACATGTACCACATAGAAGTGCACATGCTTGAGCACACACACATTTCTTCCACTTTTTATATTTAACCTCTTTGAGGAAGGACATCATAGGCATTCTCCTCATATATTTGCAATAATGTCCAATAATGTCTAGGCTACAAAACCATGAATAATTTAACCAACTAATATTACAAAGAGAAAAGTTCAGGGGAATTCTAGTAAGCCAAATTTAATTCAGACTTGGCAGTTCAAAGATGGAATCTCTTCTATGAAAAGGATAAATAGAATCATTGGTGTTTGTGGGAACTTTGATTCTCACTGGAGTTTCAAAGACTGAGGCATCCTTGGGAAACCAGGATGCTAATTCATCACCAAATCACAGCTGTTGTTGTGGCCAGTTCATCCCTAGGGAGTTAGAAAGATTAGCTTTCCCCTGGTTCAAGCATTTATTCTTCCTCTCAAGTAAACCTGGGAGTCAGTATACTCTTACCAAAAGAGGAAGGTTGATGATTAAACAAACTTGAAAGTTATTTTAAAGTCGTCGTGAGTGTGGCCCTAATTCTGTCCCGCTGATTATCATTCATTCTGCCCTAGGTCTCTGGGCCAGTGCTTCTGTCTGTAACTGCTGGCCTGTTACCTGCTGGCCTCATTCTTGTCACATGTCATATTTTCCTCCAGCTTTTTATGCTCTGAGGAGTTCTGTCCTGGCTAATTTTGGATGTAAAGCTGTCATTAGAAGACCCAATCAATGAATTTTTAAATAATTTAAAATTATCTTTGCTTTAAATCACTCTTAAGTTATTGTGGTCATCACAAGTAAGCAAAAGACATGTCATAGCATCGTTTACAAATCACAGAGCACAAATAATCCTTAATTTCTCTTGAGAGGGGAAGGAGGAATGTTTTCTCCTGTAGTTTCATCCATGAACTCTTACAAAAATGTTTGCTTTGTGTTGTTCCTCTTCAAAAAAGAGAGTACCATCCATGCACAAATCCATATTTTCTATGCATCAAAGACAACATGTGGTAGCCTTGAGAGAATATGGTAGGAATAAGAATTCTCAAAGTCCTGGTGTTATCAACTCCTCCCTGATTTTCAAAAGTTAACCTGATAACCAAAGTGGAAAGGACTCTGCAATGTTCAAATGAGAAATCATCTCATTAGATGCCCATTTGGTGCCAGGAGCTGCTCCTGGGGATACAAAACTGAACTTATATTGCCCTTCCCCATTGTACCACTGTAATTTCACTTTCGTCAATGAGACACTATGGACTTGAAATTCATAGAGCTTTAAAATTTATTATAAAATTGAATGCATATATAGAGAGAGCACATTAAAGTTCTCTAGGGAAGATAAAACAAAAATGGTTTGAAAGAAATAGCAAAGCATTAAATTTTTAGAAAAGAAATTTTCTTATTTCTCTGTGTATTGGCAAAGGATTTACATCATTGGTACCTATGCTCTATAAGTTGTTTCCACTCCTCGACCAACCATAAGAGCACCATCAGTTGTCAAAAATAAGTGGGCTTGTATAGTGATGAGGTAGTTAGAAGTCCATGTCCTGCCATGACCTAAGGTATGTCTTAGATATAGATCATCGTAGATCCAGATTATCTTAGAGTTATTACATGCTCAAGTACCTTGTTATATACTAATGAAAAAAAACAAAATATTAAATCACCAAATGGTTTCCTTGGCTTTGCTTCCTGCCCCTGTATAGTGCATGAACAGATCTTAAACTACGTGATAGAAGTTCCATACTTAGAAGCCAAAGTATTATAGAAAGTGAGTACTACAATGTAAATAAAGCAATCTCTTAACTCCAAGTAGTTTGCATATCTGCATCCATTAAACTCTCACGAAGTTTATTTGACTAAGGCCAAAGAGATCATCTCTTTATTTATGGACTTAAACTTTTCTATGGTTTTAAGTTAAAAGGAATTAAAGTTACAACATGAAAAACTAAACAATTTAAAAATTAATGAGGTAGATTTTTACAATAACACTGAACATACAACAATTTTAGTAAACCTCTTGTCTCCAATAGCAAGTGAAAACCACATTTTCATGGATTATATTTTGTATTCTTTATTTTTAAAATGTTAAAAATGCTGGAAACTAGTTGTGACATAAATACATAAAATTTGTGTTCTTTGTAATGATTTTGTTCACTGGAGCAAAAATTGCTTCAGAGAGAAGTAGCTTCCTCAACTGACAGCAATTTAAAATAGGAATATTATTACCTATTTTTATTCATGAGGGTTAATGACTTTTATCCCAATTTGAAATTTTCTATGTCTTGTGATTGATGGATAATAATGAAATATAGTATTCATCCTGTCCTGTTTCTTCATAAAGTCCTAAGGTGGTCTTATTTATGTGTTGCACATTGCCTTAGCTTTGCACTTTAGCACCACCTGGTGGACATAATATCATTTTCTTCTCTATTTAAAGTAAGCCCCTTCACTATATATCCAATTATGACATACAGGTATCTTAATTATAAAAGTATCTAATCTTAAAGATTTCTGTAAATAATATGATGTAAGTGTCTGATGTGATTTCTGAGTTAAATGAGTTTTTTTAAACTTCATTAATATATAGGGATTTGAATAGTCTGAGATATGCATATGCAAAAACTGGGGCTTTCTTTTACAATTTAATTTTTTATCATTTATATCTTTTTCTCAATAAATAAATAATACTAAGAAGTTTTCATTGTCTTAGTTGCAAATTATCATTTAAGTTAGATTGTCTATCAAAGATGCAGGATAATCACTTTGTAATACTTTATGAAGAATTTTCATACAACAAATTCTTATTGAGATAGTATTTTATGTACAGTTAAAATTAAAACTAGTGCTTTAACCATTATTATTATAAAAGAAGGCATTTTCATGCTTATTTTCCCCCTTATAATTAAAGTTTAGTGTAGTCTTATATGTATTTTTAGTTCTTAGTTTTTAATACTTAAAAAAAATTTCCAGAAGATAATAAGACAATACTTCAAATGAAAAACACAATTACATTTAAAGTTAGTTTTGATAATTTATCACATGTTGCTCGTTGTCTGGTTACACACCTCTGTGAAATAAAGTGAATGTTTTTCCTATGAAATACGGAGAAAATATACCCTCAGATGTCACTGTGTTCCTTAGGAATACACTCATATATTCCCTGATAAAATTGCCGGGGCAGTAGTGGGGTGTAAATTTGAACTGTGTAACATTCAAGGACTTAGTAGCCAAATTACAGCTGATGATATTTAGATAGTAAATATGTTTTAGCTTCACACTTTTAGTATGTCATTTAAGATAAATTTTAATAACCTTCATTAAGATATGCTTCTGAAATTGAAGCTATTTATAGTAGACCCCCCCTCCCACTCCATTGTCCCTTAGCTAAGGCTTTGCTTCCTGAGGTTTCAGTTACCCATGGTCAACCTGGGTCAGAAAATATTAAAAGGAAAATTCCAGAAATAAACAATTCATTAGTTTAAATGAGCACCATTCTGAGTAGTGTGATGAAATCTTGTGCTATCCTGCCCTATTCTTTTTTTGTTAGTTATTGTTGTTAATCTCTTATTGTGCCTAATCTATAAATTAAACATTATTATAGGTATGTACAGCATGGGGCAAAAGTAGGTTTACAGTTGTAAGTACAGAAAACAGAATTTATTCTTGTATATTATTTATTAATTATTGTATTATTTTCCATATGAACAACTGTAAACCTACCTTTTCCCTATCCTGTATATGTAGGAAAAAAACAAGGTATCTAGGGATTGTTATTATCTGTGGTTTCAGGCATCTACCGGTGGTCTTGGAATATATCCCCTATGGTTAAGGGGGACTACTGTATTTTGTTACCTCAAGAAAACACTATAATCTTCTCTCTTTTTTCCTCTTTTTTCTAAGGCCTCGGATTGTATACTGTAAATTCAGCATATGGAGATACCATTGTCATGCCTTGCCGACTCGATGTACCTCATAATCTCATGTTTGGCAAATGGAAATATGTAAGTGTGACCTACCTTGGATTTAGTTAATTGCCTCTAGTATTTGAAATAAAATTCCTTCTGTGAGTGAATATGAATTTCAAATTAACATAATGGCAATATTCAACTCTGGTACAAATGTAGGAACGTAGAATTTATGTGTTAAGACGTCGGAAGAATATTCCTAAGTCTTACACAACAAACACTGTTTTAAAATAAAGCTGATAAACATCTAATTCTTAGATCATATTACTCTGAAAAATTCAACTTTAAGTGTCTGAGGCAGAAAAAAATCCAGAGTTCCAGGGTAAAATGAGTGGATGCAGGACAAGGCAGCTACATGCTCTTGTTCTCCTTAGTGCAGCTCCTGCAAAGACCAGATGCGCCAGTAGCCACTGTGCCCGAACATTCATTGCAAGTTAATCATCAGTAGTATGTGTTCTTTCCTGATGAGTTAGTCTTAGGACTGTGTTGATGTGATAGGTCCTTTTTACATTTAACATTGTTGATTTCGTCCATTTCTTGCAGATAGCCAAGTCATATTCTCTTGGGTATCAAGGTACAGATGGCTCTGGAAATGGCAGGTAGATACCCTGGTAGGTGGAGTTGAAGTGGTTAGGTAACACTGACTGACAAATTGTCTCAATTTAATTATCAAAACCAGCAAAAGGTGTCTATGAGGCATGATTTCCCAATGCTGCATCACATGAGACCCATGATAGTTTGCAAGCTTAAAGCAGACATATGTTTCTCTGAACACAATGGCACCTTGAACTATTAAAAGATATTTGAATAGGAAAAGGATTCGATGGTCAAATAATTTTTGAAATTTCTTTATTGAAAACTTCTCAGAGCCTTGCATGTGTTAAAATGCATTATGAAATTATCTGAATTTGATTCATTTCTTAGGTTTATTTAACCATACAACTCCTTTTTTCCTCAAATATCTGCACAAACATTCTCCAGAACACACTTTGGGAAATGTGCTTAAGGCTGCACCCAAAAGGTGGAATAACACATTCTTTTAAAATACGGGTTCTGAAGTCAGACCAACATGTTCTATCACACTCACTGCAGGACTCTGGACAGTGAATGAATCCCCATTTTCTCATCAATAACATGAGATAAAAATAATCTTCCCGATCGTGTTATGAGGGTTACATGAAGTAACTCATGTAACAGAATACTCACAGAATGCTTGGCAGATGAGAGCTGCCAGGAAAAAGGAAAGCTGTTTTGACTGTGGGGCTGCGAAGCTCAAAGCACGCCGTGTGTGAGCGGAATGCGAAAGGAGAGCGCGGCGGCGAGGCGACATAGCACTTCTCCATGCTCGCCTCCTGTTATCCAGCTCACGTCAAACTAATTCTGGTTCCCTGCAAAAGTGGACATATGAAGCTACAGCCTACGAGGACAATGTCTGCTCTCACCCCTAAAATCCCTGCGTTCGAGAGACGGCCATGTAATTCACCTGTTGAGTCAAATTTACTGCCAAAATAAATAGAATACAGATGGCGAAAGCTTCTGTGATCGCAGACTTCTCTGAGAATAACCCAGGGATTAATTTTCACCTGAACTGAACTGGCACAACAGTAGTGGAAACAAACAATAATGACAATTTTCAAATTGTTAATTAAGTAAAAAGCTTCAGCGATAAACTGATGAGATACATCGGATGTACCATGTGCTCTAAAAACTGTTGATTTGCAGACATAGTCTACAATCTCTAATTTAATGCAAACTGAAAAACAAATGGGAGGTTTGGAGGAAGGGTGGATCATCTTTCCCGCTCCTGCACAGTAATCTACCAGTGAATGGAGATGCTAGCTCTCTGTTCACCCCTTTGCACCGCAATCCCGCCTCCTCTTCACCAGTATCTGCCTCAATGCCTGTTATGGATCTGGCATCTAATGGCTACAGAGAGTGGTACAAGGTAGTCATAGTGGAGCCAGACTGCCGAGCTCCCCCCTTGCTTTGCTGAGGCGCACTAGGTAGCTGGGCCCTTACACAAGTTATTAAACCCACCTCTGTTTCCAGTGCCTAGTCTGTAGATGGCACTAATATCATAACTCTAACATACAGGGTTGTTGTGAATATTAAATCAATCAATGAATGGAAACAAAAGCCTGAAGAAAGTACCTGGTATATAATTAAGTACTCAAAACTTAACTATTATTTGTTGCATAAGTGAATGAACAAACAAATTTAAGGTACTGGTCTAACATTTTTCTCTTAAAGAGTAATAATTTAGGGCAAGAGATTGCATTGTAAACCTGTGACAGAATTGAAAGATTTAAGGAGAATATTATTGATGTATTCGTATATTCAACCAACTAAAACTTTTGAAGCCTAAGATTAGCTTAGTACTTGCATTAGTGTGGGTCCCTATGAAAAAAAAAATACCATAAACATGAACTTATAAAACATATTTATTTCTCACGGTTCTGGGGACTGAGAAGTCCAAGATCAAGGTGCTGGCTGGTACATTCGGTTCTTGGTGGGGGTCCTCCTCCTGAATTGTAGACAACTGACTTTCCGTCATGTGCTCATATAAGCCCCTCTTTGTGCGCTCATGGAGAGACAAACGCCACCCACGGCTCTCCCCCTTCTGATAAGGACACTCATCCCATCATGAAGGCATCATTGCTGTGGCCTCACCTCAACCTAATTACTTTCAAAGGCTCCACTTCCAAATACTAACACACTGGGGGCTAGGACTTTGACATAGACTTGGTAAAGACATGAACCAAGTAATTTAGTCCACAGCAGTAATAAATAATAATAATTTTAAAAATATAACACCTTGAAATCTTCCATATACTTTAAAATGTTTTATCATATTTTAATTCCCCAAAGACCTTGTGAGGTAAATAGAAGACAGATTTCCCCTATGTCAAATTAAATTCCTTAATAGGAAAGAATATTCTTATAGGAGCAGAGGTAGAAATGAATTATATGTCTCAGTGCTTTTGGCATAGCTGTGTATGCCCATGTTATATTTTATCCTGATAATAAGCTTTTATATGAAAACCCTTTGAGCTAAGTTTTACGACTCAAGTAGCAAAACTATGGATTTTAGTGATTAATCTGATTCTATGGCTAAATGGACATGAGTGTTTCACAAGGGCAAATACTGTTTTTCCATGAAGAATCATTAAACTTTGTTATATGTAAAGGTCAGCTGTGTCAGTTTTGGCCAAAACGGAAAGGTATGGACATTTAAAGTGTGTGGATTCAAGTAATGAATATGCAAAAGAGAATTGCCCACGATTGCTAAATGAGTTCTTGCAGCTCACATGTATGCTTGCTGTGATGGGTAGCTGAATATCATTTTGAACGTATGTATATTCTCTTATATCTATTGTTTCCTTTATATTAGACACAAGGCCAGCCATCGTCAGTTTTGAAACAGTCACTAATTCTGCCCTCCAGGTTCAGGAAAAGCTCAGATTCCTAGAGCTTTGCCCTTTCCTTTTCAGATATTTCAACTGATACCTGGAAAAGAAATTACAGCTTCTCTTAAGGAGCATAATTCTGTACGCAGAGATTTATGTGAGGCTTGTATCCAAAATTATTCTTCTTGGCCACAACTATTAATATTGGTGGAAGAATATGGCCAAGAAAATTTTATTGTTCTGGCTGTGACCCTGAAACATCTGAATATGCTTGATTTTAATATGTATTATTATTTTAATTTTTAGGAAAAGCCCGATGGCTCTCCAGTATTTATTGCCTTCAGGTCCTCTACAAAGAAAAGTGTGCAGTACGACGATGTACCAGAATACAAAGACAGATTGAGCCTCTCAGAAAACTACACTTTATCTATCAGTAATGCGAGGATCAGCGATGAAAAGAGATTTGTGTGCATGCTCGTGACTGAGGACAATGTGTTTGAGGCGCCTACAATAGTCAAGGTGTTCAGTAAGTAGTCTGCGGTGTAACTGCTAAGTGGGATTGATGACTGGTACTAGAAAATGTTCTTGAGAAAGAAGACTGAACTCTGTAGTGCCTTCACAGCAGACAATTATGTAAGAGGATTTCTTGCGATCTTCATTCTCGTGCATGCTGTCAGTGAGGAAAACCAAAAACCCCAAAATTCAAATAGGACTTTTGCAGTAGGGAGTAAAAGAATATCCACTGTTCTTTTGTGATAAAATTTCCTGTGATATGAAGAACTACTAAATGAAAATTGGCATGCAATCTTTCACTTTCACTGGCATGTACACACAAATGTTCTGTGATATGTACATAGATATCTTTGTATGCATAATCATCCATGTCATGCATACGTATGTATCTGCTAAGGAGGCCATTTAAAATTGGATTTTAATATATATAAACAATACAATACAGGCAAATCCAAACTATCTTGTGATTTTGAGAGCTAAGCTTTATAACTGTGTATGAACCCACTCCACACACATATCCTGACCATAAATCCTTGCTGATTTATTTCTTAAAAGTGTTCAGTTGGTTTATAAAATTGCCCTAAAATAACAAAGTTTACCTTTTCCTGAATGTGTATGTGGAAAACAAGAAGGGGAAAACATAGAGACAGTTTAAAAGGAGAGAAGAGTATAGAAGAAATTTGTATTAACTACTATAGTCATTATGGCAAGGCTACTTTGCCTAATAATAATATGGTTAAAGTCACTGTGTGAACAGCTATGCAAATGAGTGACTGAGGACGTTCTAATTAAATCATTTTATCTTTTAACATTCAGATAAAAAGTCCTTCCTCTGTTACACTATAATATCTTGGAAAATACTGGGAAAAAATAGTCTCAAAGTTTTAGAACACCAGTCTTTCTAATTAGGGAAGAAGGCCTCACTTCAATTTGTCCCTCTGCTTTCTGATGACTTGACAGCACCTAGAAATTATTAAAATAAATATGGAAGAAAGAAACCCAGAGGGCCCTCCTACTGCAGGAAGACTCCATGGATTGTTCCCTTTTCTCTTGTAATAGCGAACACAACTAGGTAGGACAGTCCCTTAAGTATTCACATGGACTTCAAAATTCCCATGGGCCCATGGCATGGGTTCAAAGAATGCTAATATGATGAGAGGAGGCCTTTGTTCTCCAGAAGAAACTTGCAAAAGCTTTTTACATGTTTCAGTTGATTACCTTTCAGCTTAAAGGGCACTTTCCAGAAGTCATCCCCTCTTCCCAAATATTTTAGGAATCAAAGCAAATACCAAGTGCTCATAAGCCATGCCCTTTTATTAAACACCCCAAATAATCTGTGTCTTGTATTTGGCAATGCTTCATCTTTTTTTTCTTTCTTTTGTTTTATTTCACTCTGAGGTAATTAGGAAGATGGATAGTGTACTGCTAGGGACACTTTCTAAAGAGAGCAACCAAAATTTTTAAATTAGGCCATGATGTAATAAATATAAGCACATATCAAGAATGTACCACAGTAGGTACTAAGATTACATCATGGCCTCTAAAGGTTATGAGTAATGATTTGGCATTGTCAGGTTTCTCTTTACTGGGTTAAAATGACTAAATCTCAAGATAGGTACAGGAAAGTTGAAAAAATTCAAGTTGTTCCACTTGTGACAGTTTTCAGACTATACTCTTTAAAAAAACAATACTATACAGCAATATGAAAAAAAAGTAGTTGGTCTAATTACATAAAGTTTGTAAGTCATTTTGGAATCCTGAGGATTTCTATAATTGTGACAACAAACTCACACCTGCATACCGCCAGCACCCTACCCCCTTCTCTTTTGAATGTTGAAAACAAAGTGATTCTCAGGAACAGAATTTGCATTCCAGGCTCTGGGCCAGGGAGAATTTAAACAGACAAGTTACACACTTTTGAAAATGGAGTTTTATACTAGAAACCGTGGGACACTCCAAGTCTAATAAAATGAACAGCACAGCTCAAAGAAAATGTTTGCAAAAGCATATAGGGGCTTCGCTTTCTTAAAAATAATGAATTTACTTTGGGTCACTTTTCATGAAGCAAGCAGCAGCTGTGACAGGGAGGCTTTCATTTTGCACATGTATATATTGTAGTCACTTAAGAGTTTCTAGGCTCATCAATCAGTCCTCTGTTTCCTTCAGTCGAATCACCTAGCAACATGCACTGTGTACCACAGAATTGAGTATGGTTAACATGAGCTAATCCCGGATCAGCTTGATGCAAAGTGTCATCCTCATGGGCAAAGTCAAACTGCATTTATTCAAACTAGAAGCCATGACTAATGACTTTGTACCTCTGATGTAGGGTTGTTCGTTTAGTGTTAACCTATATCTCAGAAGCAAGAAGTCATTTCAAAAAAGCAGGCCAGATCAAAATAAATCACTAATGCAGCTTTTTTTTTTTTTTTGGCAGTTGAATGGCATCAAAATCAAACTGTTTGCATTTAATGCACATTTGAAGCTAATAATACCATTTAAAAGGAAGAATAGAGCTTTAAAAAGTCCCAAAGATTTATTCCAGTCATTTTGCAAAGGTCTCAGAGGACAAATGGGTGCCCAGATTGCCAAATGGCTTTCAGTGGTGTAATGGAAAAATCACCGAACTGGTCATCAGGAGACCTAGCTTTGTTAATATGCTGCTAATTTCTGACCTTGGGCAAGTCACTTCATCAGACTGGGGCCATGAGTCCCTCCTCATCAGTAAAATAAGTTCTTTGAATTAGATGGCAGTTTTCCCATTATGTTCCTAGGGTCCTCTTGAGAAACTAATGAAGAGAGCTGAGAAGGTGAGGGGCTGCCTGTTAGATTAGCTAGAATTCCATGTACTCAGCATTTCAAAGTTTTTTCATGATAATTTGTTCGGAGGGAAATGAGGGGAGGCAGAAAAGCTGCACCTCTAAAAAGGCATTTGCAAACCACCAATCAAGGTTAATCTCTCCAACCTCTTCTTGCCATGTGTCTGTAGAGTTCAAACAAAGACTGTTCCCATGATGTAGAGTCTGGTGTGCATCTGAACCAGCTCTTCTCTCAGTGATGCGCAGTGCTGGTTTGCTTCACACAGTTGTTTTAGATTTTGCTTGTGGATTCTGTTCTCAGCGTTGTATGATTGAGCATCCCTCCTTCTCCCTCCCTGTGAAAGTTAGTCAACCTGCAAATAATGAAAGAAGCAGAGAACGACCTATTTAACAAATGCAACCTACATTATGTATTTCATTTTGATTCTTTAAATATAAAAAAAATACCTTTCCTATCTCATGAGGAAAATAAACTAATCCCATGCTTATAATAGTTTACTTAAAGTACATCAGGACTGATGCAGGGGATGATTGCTGACAAAGTACTGAGGGAAGCACCCTAGTCACCGTAGCAGTGCACCCGCTTTTTCTTGCTCTCCTCCCACACCAGATTGCATTATCCTGTGCATGGTTTTAATAATAACACTATACTTTGTGGGTGATTCAGAGCAGTTTTGCATTCATTACTCCATCCTCACTTGGCTATGAGACCTTTGACAAAATTATTTTAATAATGCAAATAAATTTGGGGCATGATTTTATCTTTCAATTCTGTACTTGGTTATGAATCCTGGGCTGATATTAAGACATAATTCATGTAAAGTTTTTTAAACACTTTGGAATCAATATGCAATTTTGGTAAAATAGTACATGTGTCCCCTTTTATGGTCCTCCAACTAATACTCATCGATTGTTACAAACTAATATAAAATTACATACAGAATATACAGTTATTATAGAGGGTTTGAAACAAAAATTTAAAGAGAAAATAACTCAAATAAATGCAATAGGTATTACTATTACTTTCACAATACCCACTGTGACTCTCTCTTCCAAATACAATGATGAGTAACAGTGTAAAGAGGACTAAGATTTAGGCACTTTTTTATCAAGTTTCCCTGGGTTTGCTATAGTTTCATTTTATTGAAATAAGAATAATTTTTTCTAAATATAATGGAAGTTGGCCTTTTACACAAGGCCAGGTGTTTATGATCTTATGTACATTGATGAAACACCACAGAGTTTACAGGGCAAAGGAGAGAAATATATGTGTTCTACATAAGAGGAAGTATGTGTACAAGTGTTTAGCTATATGATTTTGGTGAACTAGAAGGTAGCACAACTTAGCCCAACTGCCTACCCACACTTTGTATTAAGACCTTTAATTTTTTCAGAGGATTTTTAAAACCCCTCCATGTATTCCAGGCGTAGATACTACTGAAGAAGAAACAAAAAGACATTGTTCTTGCTAATTTTGACTCTTGATTGACCACATACATAAATTAAATATCTCACCTCCCTTCAGCTCTCAGAGGGGTGTTACTAAATTACTGATTTCCATTCCCAAAGGATTTTGTCTTACATATTTAAGCCCCAAGAATTTTCATTATGTTTGAATATTTTGGTTGCAGCCCTCTTTGAAATTTATTACATTTGCATTTAAACATAAATTTTGAACAGAATATATGTATTAACAATAACTCAGTTGTAATTATGAATATTAATGACATTAAATTAAAATAGTAATCACATCAAGGCTTACTGATATATGGGAGGTTTAATCTGCCACCATATGTTTCCCAGAAACTACTGTTTATATTGAGTTTTTGTCAGTTTTTTATAAGACTTTTGGCCACATTTTTAACAATCAGGTGGTCAGATGTCACTTGTCATTTGTGTTAATGTAGTCTCTGTCATGCCTTTCTATTCTTCCATATTTCTTTTTTATATTTTTCTATCTTTTTAATGTTTTGTTTCCAATCTATATATTTAGAAAACAGGAGAATTATATTTCTAGAATCAGTAGTAAATAGACCTTCCTATAATTAAAGTGCATGAGTTCCACACATAGGCAGATTTATTAGTATTATCACCATCCATTATTCTAATTTGTAATATAAAACATAGTGCAAAGGGGAAATTGACCCAATATTAACCTGAAGAAGCTTAGATATTTTGCAAATTGTCTTGGTGATATTCATTTTACGATGCCAAAGACTTTCTGTCTTCTTCATTTTCTGTAATGGTCTGGGTAGATAACATGTCTGATAACAACTCCAAATCAAGTGCTAATTATGCCAATTTAGTTTAGTTTGGTAATCAGAATATAAGTATTGGAGATAGTAAACAATAAGACTATAAAAAGAAACTGGGTTTCTTTATATCCCTGTTTATATTAGAAAAGAATAATTCTGCTCCATGTGACTCACAGAAGTCAGTGCCAATGAGGCAATATCCACTTTTTGTAGGCTAATGGTTAGAGCTAAGAATAAAATAACCTACATAAGCTTAAATAGTACCCAGTGCTAAAATTTTTAATCAGTTCTTCCTGAAGCCTTTATCAGAATTTATGTTTACAAAATTTCCTATGTTTAAAATACTATGTTCACTATCTCAGTTTCAAAATTTGAAAGATTTCACTACAGTTATAGTTTTCTAATGTGACTTCACTTAAGGTTTGAGATGCACTGGAAACCTGGGCCTCTATATCCCCTAACTAACTATATTTTCTCATGACTTTAGAGCAATGATTCTTAAACTTTATTGTGCCCAAGAATTCCCTATGGAAATTGTTTAAAATGTAGATTTGTAGGATCCGCCCCCCACCTCCCAGAGATTCTGGTTCATTTGGCCAGGTAGGACTCAGAAATCTGCATTTTAAACAAATACCCCTGTGATTGTGATTCGCGTGGATTTAGATCTTCACCTAAGGAATGGAAGTGGACATAGTAAACAATTGGAGAAAATATATCCTATTTAGTACATTAACTTCTTTCACTATCAAATCCATATTCATTGTTTATAAAATGTCCAGAAAACATTATTGATCATTTTTTTTCAAAGGAGTTATAAGCATTTAAAATATTTCACATATGTAGCAAATATTCAAAGGGGGTGGACTAACTAGATGCTTTCCTTTCATATTATATAGAAAGTCTATTCTATATGCTAGTGCTTGATTATCTACTTTGAGTAAATGTATTCTTTTTTATAACTGAAATCACAACATCCTATTATTCTTTCATGTGCACTTAAAACCTTTCTCTATTTAACTTTAGAGCAACCATCTAAACCTGATATTGTTAGCAAAGCACCATTTCTTGAAACAGAGCAGCTAAAAAAGGTAAGCACTTGTTTTTTATTAATTGCCTTTACTTAGCCTAGTACCAAATGCCTTCACCTGGCCTCAGACTCCAGAACAGATAAGATAAACCTTGTCTCTTGGGCAGCTGACAGTGTTGCAGGTGCCAGTCAGAAAGTCTGCGTGAGGGAGCGTGGGGCCGGAGGAGGGTGATGCCGTTTCTGAAGGGAGAGGAGGGCAGCAAGGAGTGAAAAGAGGCATGTCTTTCTTATCTGGATGAACTGAGTGTTTAATGGAGTTGTGAAAGATGAGTAGATTTTTTTCCCCCAGACTAGCAATTTGAAGTAATACGATGTGAAAGAGAATGACATTTGGGAGAAACATTAAGTTATCTTCCATTGCTGGAACTTTGGGTGCTAAGACAGTGGGCAAGAAAGTGAAGTGAGAGAGAAATCTGGAGAGGTAAGAAGAAGATGGATTATGATAGGCCCTTTATGTCACATAGGGAATTTGGTCTTTCTTCTACTGACAAATTACTGAAAAGTTGAAGTAAAGGTGTAAGAAGATTAGATTTGAACGATCACATCACCAGGGGTTTAAAGGAGGTTTTAATGAAGGAGGGACAGATCTGGAGTTCCATAGTTCGGCCCATCAATTGACCTACAATCCCACTTTCACTGGCTAAGATACTTCAGTTTTCCGTGGTGGAAGCAGAAACCACGTCTGGAATTCCTTGCAGCAGATTAAATTGTCCTGTATAATATTCGTTTATAAACACTAAATATGAAAGTTAAAACACACTTGAAGAAAAGTAGTGAGCATTATCGATGGTGGTGAGAATAGGTGCTATGTATGGCCTGGAATGTGCGCGGTATGAAGCTGGAGAGGCAGCCACACTGTAACACTGTTAATGATTCTTGCGTATGCAGTTCTATGAACCACGGCAAGGGCCAATATTAATGCAATTGTGTTACTTTGTTAATGTTAAAAATGACTAATGTCAAAATGAATTTAGTGTTTTTACGTGAATTTGGTGTTTTATATGTTTTTACGTATAGTTTTATTAATAGGTGCACCATTGATGGTGTGCTTTTAAAATGAGCAAGACCTTACTGTTAACTGTGAAGCATTGTTTTTATATGAGAGCATTTACTCAGTCCTTAGTCAGTGACTGGGAAATGAATGGGTGGGAAAGCTTTGGGATAACTCTCAAATCCCCTGAGGATTTTGAGCTTCCACATGGACAATCACTGATGAAAAACTAAGGTAGTGACATTTCCTCTTTATTTTGCAGTTGGGTGACTGCATTTCAAAAGACAGTTACCCTGATGGCAATATCACATGGTACCGGGGCGGACAAGTGCTGCAACCCCTTGAAGGAGGTGGGTATGAAGGACGCAATAAACTCAGGTGACCTGTTTTGATTTTCTAGGAATTTTTTAAACTACCCTGCCTCTAAATGTGTTGTCCCCTTTTGATCTATGATTCTGTGCTTTGTTACTCTATGTATCCATTAAGTCATTCAGTGATTTTAAGAAAAAAAACACCAATTTTAACCCTTGTCCAGAAGAATCAAGAGCAAAGAAAATTACTTTTGTACGTGACATGTTTTAGAAGTTAATTAGAGTGAATGGGAAATCAGATTCCAGGATTGTCTTCTGTCCTTGTCTCTGATTCATGGTTTTAAAAAGACATCCTACCTCACTACGTGTCACTTTCCACTCCTGTTAAATACATTGAGAGGGACAAAAAGGCGTTGTGGCATTTCATTAAGAACTGTGGAATTGTGGCTTTCTGATGAAAGATCCTGTCATTAGTGTTCTGTATTTTCTTCAGCGGCGGTCATAATTTTTAAAAAGGAAATGGACCCGATAACGCAGCTCTATACCATGACTTCATCTCTGGAGTACAAGACAACCAAGGCTGACATACAAATGCCGTTCACCTGCTCTGTGACGTATTATGGACCATCAGGCCAGAAAACACTTTATTCAGAACAAGCAGTCTTTGATATCCACTGTAAGTAACTCAACATATAATTATGCAATTTTAATGCATTAGGAAAACCATTCAAATGATTATCAGTATTTTAAGTCCTGATCCTTATGATCTGTGGAATCTACCTCCAATCCCTACCGCGACTCCATAGCATTCTAATAATCTCTTCCTCATTGAAAGACCTCTAGAATAAAGGTTTACATGTCTTGTGATATCTTTCTCTCTTTATTATTTATGGGCATTTTTCTATATTCTGCTAGACATTCAGTTCCTTAAAGACAAAATCTTCAGCTTAAGTCTTATCCCTTCTGTTAGTCCTCAGCCATGAACTTTATAGGAGTTCAAAATGCCATCTCGTGGTTTTCTGAATGAATGACAGATGAATAGAGGCTATGACTGAATGGTCTTCTAGATAAGTGATTTCCATTTCAATAAAGAGATTTATTTTATTAATGATATCAATTGCATCAGTTAAATAGGATGTTGTATTCCAAGATACTTTGGTTAACTTTATTTCCTAGATTTGAAACAGAATAGTAGAGCAGAAACAGAACTACAAAGGAAACTTCGTGATCGTCTGGTCTAACTCAGTTATTTTACTTAGCAGTAAAGTGAGGCCCTGAAACTTGTTGTAAATTAGGTGCAGAAACTGGGTTAGAACCCCGTTCTCCAACACTGTTCTTCCCTGAGACCGGTGTGGAGGCGATCTAATGACTAAGAGCAAACATGCTGGCTGCCCAGTCCCTGCAGTGCCAGTTACTGCGTGTTTCCAGAAAAGGGGCTGAAATACTCTATGTCTCACTTTTCTTAGCTCAAATTGGGAAAAATATAATATTAATACTTAACTCATAGTGTCGTCATGGAGATTAAGTGAAATCACAAATCTAAAATAGCACACTATATAACACATTCAATGTTCAATATTAAGTACTATTCTCATTATTTCAAAATGATCATTATTAATTACTGCATAAGGATATGATAGTGATATCTTTTTAGGAAAAGGCAAGAAAGAATTTTATTTTTTTAAAATGCATCAAAAATGTTTGTAATACTGCCATATGTTGTAGACTAACCCTGCACTTCTATCTCTGTTCTGGAGGAAGGGCATAAATCCCTTTTGAACTTTCAGAGAGTTTTTACCCACTTACATTTCTATTTTGGTTCCATAAAGTATGGAACTATATATAAGAACAAAACTGAAATTCCACTTGCCCTAATAATAAGGGTCATTTTTACCTTTAACTTTGTAATGCATTTCAACTTGATTTAAAAACAAGGACTGAGAGGATTTCCTCATGTACAGCTTATTTAAAATCCATCTGTTATTTCTGTAAGTGAAGGAAGAATTTTGTCTGTTCAAAAATACTCAATTGGAAATAAACTATCTTGGTGTAAGTGTAGGAGTGCAAGGTAGAAAAGAACATCAAGATGAGTAATAAAGAATGAGATACTGGCTTAAGAAAGAACAGAAGGCATGGGGATTTGGGTAGACAGAAAAGTCCTTGGCCTTAATGAAGGAAGTGATTTTACTGTGACTGGCTGGATGGGGCGCATTTGGCGTGGCTTTTGAGAAGGCACAGTGTATTCAGTACTGGGCTTCATGATGAGGACACAGAAGTGTTTGAGATATAGTTCTGACATTTAAGGGATCTGCTACTTCAGTAGAGAAATAAGACACTTATATCAGAAGGAAGTTGTCAACACAAGGTCTCAAGCAGTCTAAGAGCCACTGGAAGATGGTGAACTGGCCTAAAGGCTCAGGTGCTCAAAGACAGTGATTTTCAAACTCTAGTATCAACATCACCTGAAGAACTTGCCAGAACACAGATCGCTGGACCCTGCCCAAGTTTCTTATCCACCAGGTGCTGGAAGGAGCCTAGCACTTTGCATTTATAGCACATTCCCTGGTGAGGCTGTGGCTGCTGATCTGAGGACCACACATGGAGAACCACTATTCCAGGATGACTTCAGAGGAGAGAAGGAGGCAGCTAAATGGAAAGGACACAGAGCACAGTAAAGGAAAAGAAATTTGGCAAAATTTGTCTTAAGAAAGATGAACTAGTTTACTCCTTCCTTACCTATTCAGTCAGTAAAGAATTCTTGGAGTATCTAGTTCTTTACTCTTTGTGTTTATTTCATTTCTGCCTTCTGACACTGCCTAAGAGTATGCCACCGTGTTTCATTGCCTGTATTTTTGTGACAGTTTTCTAACTAGTATCCCTCTTGTTCATTCATTCCAAACTGTGCTCCAAGCTGCTGCCAGAAATATCTTTCTAGAACACCATGCGACTACCTCATGGCTATGATTAAAATTCTGTGAAGACTCCTCAGATCTCTGGGATTGATCTTCACACTCCCAACTGATTTCAATATGCCTTGAGTCCCCTGTGGACATGGCCCTGCACTATGCCTCAACCTTTATTACTTCACTGCACTTACCCCAGTCTGTTCTGTTTCCCTGATTCTTCCTGTAAATTACCACTTACATGCCCAGCCGTATGCTGTTAGTACTTCACCTTTACCATCTAGCGAACACCTACTTAGTCTCCAAAGCCAGATCCAGAGTCAATTCCTACTTGAGGCTTCCCAGCCTCATGCATCTATAAGCTACCCGTGGTCACTATGCTTATATCATATGCAGTTTTTATAATATTATAGTCTTAAATGTTAAGTATGGTGTGATCAAAATTTGAAAGTTCTTTGAAGGCAAGGACTACACCGCTTTCACCTGTATAGCTCTAGCACTTTGTACCTGCAGAAAGTAAATATTAGCTAACAGATGAATAAATGACTGGACAGAAGGATAAGTGAAGAGATGGGAGAAACGAAAATTGAGTAGATTCCTGTTTATTATGTAGGGGTATATATAGGGTTGTGAGATGAAAAATAGATACTAGGTTAAGAAATATATATTTCACTCCTACATATCAGGAATGCATGAGGGCTTTGAATATCATTGTAGTAGTTAAAGCACTACTTAAAAGCTGATTTAGAGGAAGTATACAGGGGTTTATAATTGTTTGGGAAATACAATAATTAATAAATAATAACACAAGAATAAACTGTTTCATGTACTCACAACTGAAGGCTACTTTGCCCATCCCTGTACATGAAGGAGTAGAGAAAAGACAGGTTCAAGGTGAGAGACTGATGAAGTTTGGTGGCCGTGTTTCCATGAAGGTTAATTCGAGCCTGGACTAGGGAAATGTTAGTGAAAGGAGAAGGGGAGATTCACATGCCAAATATATTAAGTATTAATCATTAAGACTGAGTGATTGAGTGGATAAGGGAATACAAAAGAGAAAGCTAGAATAACTGGCAGAATGACAGAGAAAAATTCAAAGTCAGGGGCAAAGAGAGTGCCAGAGATCATTAGTTTTGTTTGAGACATGTTAGTGGACATCAAGAAAATTACTGTGAAAAGTAAGTGTTACATTAAACTTCTGATCTCAGTGTAGTTCTGTAACCCTCTAATACAGAGTAGAGCTTATCAGAAAGGGGACACAGAGAAGTGGGGTTTTGAAATGGAGCAGGAAGTCAGACGGACGGTGATCCCTGGCTGTTGTGGTGTCAGCCTTGACTGGGGATGTGCCGCAGTGATGAACCACAGGCCAAAACCAGTCGGAGGGGTCGTCTAAAAGAGTGAGGGGGGCCTAGAAATGGAAGGTCAGTAGGGGACCAAAATCAAACTTAATTTACTTTCCAACTTTACCAGGAACTGCCTGTCAGGAACCTACCTCAGGCAAATTGAGAAAAAGTAACAAGTGTATTATACCGACCATTGTTCAGCCTCAGAACACTCTGGGCAAACATTTAGAAATGCCCAAGCATGAAGAAAAGGCCAAGAAGCATCGATAACAACCCTACTAAATTTTTTCTGCACTTTAGTAACCACAAGAGAGGAAAAAAAGCCTCCAAATCTGTCACTTATTTGTCTCATTATTAGCTAAAAACAAAATAAGTCTTCATTGATAATTTTTGATGCTACCAGTTTGGAAATATAGACAAATTCCTCAGTGGTGTTAAGCCTTGTAAAAAGGTTCTCTCGAATAAACCTTTGCTTTATATGATTTTGGAATCCATTATTTATTGTGTTATCTGGCTATAAAACAAGTGGATAAGTTAGAAAATCGGAGATTTATAACCACCAACACCACCTCCTTTTATTTCATATTTGCTAGATAGGGTCCACTGTATTCAGCCTTGAATTTATTTAGCATTCTACTGTTGAGCAGTAGCCTCTGTAAAAAAATACCCTTTGGCCTTCTTTTCTCCATAAAATTGACTGAAATGGAATGACAGTTGCATCTTGGCTCCACTGCACAGAACAGAATTGCAGTATACTTACAGTCCTGTTGATTGTGTTAAGCGTCTCCCTCAGTTCACAGGATTCATCTTTTTAAAAGCAGATCTACTCTCTTGCTTGCCCAAAATCTTGCTGGTGTTATTTAGCTCATGTAGCTTTTTATTTAATATAAAGTATTGTTATGTAATGTGAGTGCAGCAGTGCCTAATAGCTTTAGCTACTTTGCTAGCTGATCCAGCCTTTCCAAACTATAAGATTCATATAATATAGTAAAATGCCCTTATAATGAAATCATATAGTGAAATTGTTCCTATTGATTTTTTACCCATAAAATAATTATGGTCATTCCTACCTGGGTTAAGGACATTTTGCTAGGAAGAAATTGATTTTTATGTAACAGGGTTTCTTTGTTTGCTCTAACCAAGATTAGTGCTTGGTGTAGTAAGTAGCTATTAACTTCAGTCCTTCTATAAAAAGATACATTTAAGTAATTACCATTACTAGCTTCTTGAGAAAATTGTGTGTAATTAGGTTATTTACATTGCATGTGCAGAGTAATTTGGTACTTGACAAAAATGGTTAACTTGTATCTGTGACTCTTGCAGATCCTACAGAGCAGGTAACAATACAAGTGCTGCCACCAAGGAGTGCCATCAAAGAAGGAGACAACATTACTTTGAAATGCTTGGGAAATGGAAACCCTCCTCCTAAGGAGTTTTTGTTTTACTTACCAGTAAGTGCTTAGGGATTATTACTTGAGCTAGATTACTATCATTTTGTCCTGTTGTTTGGCAACTGGCTGACATTAAGGATTGAATGTACTTAGGCAGCTTAAGTTAAGAGAAAGCATGTTTTTCTTGGGGACAAGGGACACCTGTAGAATGTCCTTTGAAAGCTTTTCCAGCATCTGCCAATGGTCTTGTGTTTTTTTCTCAATGTTAAGGTATGTCAAGGAAAAAAGCCTGACCACAGGAAACCATAATTACAAAACCTCAACATTTCATTATCCAAATAAATTATAAGAATCTGTTCTTTAGAAACAGATAACTGTAAATGGAGAGTCATGGCAGCAAATGCTCTGGTGCAGATTCAAAATCTACCCATAGCACATTCCTGAACACGTCTGTGAACCTCTGAAGTAGGAAGAGTTCTGTTGCAGATTATATTTAGTTTATCAGACTAACTCTGGGGGTTATATCTTGTTATTGTATATAGTCTTTAGCTGAAGGAAATGATATGTATGGAGGATAACTTGGAACACTCTCCTAGGATGTGTTCTAGATGTCATAGTGGTAAGGAGCTTGACTAGGAGACAGCTCTTCTGAGGAGACTTGTTTGCTCCCCCACAGCTCTTTCTGAGTTTCTCTTTGTTATAACTTTTCATTGAGAGAAGTCATGTGCAACTCTATTTGCTTTTACTGTGGGGATATATTTACAAATGTCATACTACATTACTTTGTCGTGTTGAAGACTATCATCCATTATATTGCTCAGGAGACTAGTATAAGTAATTTCTTTCAGACTTCAATGTTGACAGACAACTTTGTTTCTTCTAATAAATTGGCATACTGTTTTTGTCTCATGTGTAAATGAAATATCGAAACTAGTTTTGTTTATATCTTGGCTATCAGGGATCATGGAGCCAAATATTTGTCTTAGTATTAGCAACAATGTCTGGTACTTTTTTTTTTTTTTTGGTTGTTGTTAACATGTATTTCTGGTTCACCTATATTTTTATATTTTAGATTGTTATTGTTTTTTCTCCTTTTGTTTATTTTTTCTCCTCTCTTTCTTCCTTTCTTTTCTCACTACTTTCCTTCCTTCCTACCTTTCTTTTTCTCTTTTTTCTCATTTTTATTTGGATATATGGCATCTTTTCTTTTAAAGTTGTCTGAATCTTTCTGTCAAATTAGGCAAAGCATAAATATAAAAATAAAATATTAGAGATTTTTAAAAAATAAAACATTTTATGCTATCAATAAAATAGATATCATCAATACAATGAAAATTAGCCTCTCAATATCAGTTATTTTTTCCAGGAATCAGCTAATACAAACTGTACTCTCATTTGTCCAAAGATATATATTTTCCTTTTTTCTTATTTGAGAAAATGTTATTTTCATCAAGAAATACAAGTCTTTTTATTGTAGCTCCCAAGTGTAATAATCTTGTCATTTTGCCCCTATCAAAAGGGACAGCCCGAAGAAATAAGAAGCTCAAATACTTACACATTGACAGATGTGAGGCGCAATGCCACAGGAGATTACAAATGCTCGCTGATAGACAAAAGAAGTATGATTGCTTCAACAGCCATCACAGTTCACTGTAAGTCATTTTATTCTTCATACTAACTTCACTTCAAAGACCTCTGATAGTCTAAGTTGGCTATCTTTTCCAATAAATTGCAGTTTCTTAAATAATATGGTTTCATTTGGCTTGGTGAAGTGCAGCAAAACAAGTTAAACTTTGGTCCAGATTTGTACTGAAATATTGAAATCTTGCATGGATCTAATAACTGCAAATTTGACAGTGGCAAATGTCCATTTTTTTTAATGCTTTCAATTAACTGTATAAAGAAAATTTGTACATGGCCCTGGCTGGTGTGGCTCAGTGGATGGAGTGCCAGCCTACAAACCGAAGGGTCACTGAATAGATTCCCTGTCAAGGCACGTGCCTGGGTTGCGGGCCAGGTTCCCAGTAGGGGGCGCTCAAGCGGCAACCACACATTGATGTTTCTCTCCCTGTCTCCCACCCTTCCCTCTCTCTAAAAATAAATAAATGAATAAAATCTTTCTAAAAAATGTGTACATGGATATTAAGGAAATAACTCATTTTATCTTTTAAGAAAGTATTTAGGTATGTGCATTTGGCACATAAAATATAGATTAAGTATCTTTTTAAAAATTACAGAATAATATTAACATACAAACTCGGGCGATACAAAGTTAATGTAGACTCAGCCTTTAGAAGAGAAGGTAGAGACTACTAAAAGCCATTCATTGGCTTCCTCAGAGAAAGAGAATATTTTTAGAAATAAAACCTCTTCAAAGTCGCCCTCTGATACCTTTTTTTGTTAACTTGTCACGTGCTTTTGATATCCAGGTGCTTCAAAAGTTATATTTACTCCAGTGTGATAGAAAAAGATATACATAGAAAACAGGCGCTTGTGTTCTTTATTTTGTAATTCCTGACAATCTATGTTATTGCTCTACTTGATGCAACGTGGAAGTTGGGAACTAATTTGAACTGCTCTCTGGTGACACTGGGTGTCACAGAGTGCTTGGGACAAATGCCAGTCTTGCTTGGAGGTTTGTTCTAAACATCTTTTGTACTCAGCAGCACCATCATATAAATAAGGTTTTCTCTAGTCATGATCCACTTACCGTCCCATTGAATATAAGGGGTTTCTTTGTTTAAAATCAAAAGACTTTAGAAATTGTTCTGAGAAAACATTTCTAAATCTTTCACCCTACCTGTAATTCTTGGAAAACATGTAGGATAGGAGCTAAAATTTTGAGGGAGATACAAGGAAGAATATTAGGGAATAGTATGACCAGATGGTTCTCTTTGAGCTTCTGCTGTTGGAAGTACACCCTAAGGAGGCCTAGTAAAAACAGTGTACTGGTAAGAAATATTCACAGCCAATCCATTTCTCTGTTTGTTCCATATTCATGTTGCATAGATCCGAGTATATCTGCCACCAGGGACTGTTTAAACAAAAAACAGTGACTTCTAAGGATAACAATAGGGTCACTTCTCTGTGAGGATTAGTAAGTCATGGAACCATTTATCCAGCCTGTTCCATGGGGCAGGGCGGGCGGGGGGGGCAGTAAAGGGAGGGACTGTGACCAGCATGTAGACTTGCTTATGGAATAACTCTCTGATATCATTGTTCATGAGATCTTGGGGTCAGTAACCAATCATTCAGTGCCAAGAGATGGTATGTTTATGTTTAAGAGATGTTAGCTACTCAGGACTCATCTACAAGTGATGAAGTAGGGAGGGATAATTAATGGACTGATAAAGCCAAAGACTTGGCTGCAACCACATAATACCTCCATGATAGGCTGTGGTTAAAAAAAAAATTAAACAAAACATGTAACAGTTTAATTGGAGTTCAGTGCACTTAACTGAATTTAAAAGCTTTTTCGTTTTGGCAGGTAAACTGTTAACATTAGGTTTTAAGCCCTACATAGCTCCGTAAGAGCTAAAAAAGTATTGCAAGTAAGTCAAAATTTTACTCTAAGTTACATGAAATGGAAACATAAAAATCCTATTTTTGCCCATTTATCTTTGATTGCTTGCTTGTTTTCCAAAAAGGAGATTTATTTTCTTTCCATTGATGACTAAAGGGTGTGTCTCTGGAGAAGCGCCAACCCATACTGGCACATGTGTGCAGAACAGACCTCCCACCAAGCTTGCAGCCTGCAGACCCATAGTTGCTGATGAAATATCTACGATTCCTCTGCCAATTCATGTGTATAGGGGTTCTTCATCAGAACTTCTAACGCCCATTGTCACTCTTTAAAAATTTCTTATCATTGTCAAGTTAACTCTCCAGCGAAGAGAAACTTCTAACTCACCTTAAATAGAATTTCATTTTAATATAACATCAAAATATTCTGAGGAAACTCCACTTTTCTATGTGATAATGCATATTTTAATACTGATGAGAAGCTAAATAAAGCATACTTCTTCTGATTCATTCAACCACAGTGTCTAAGAGCCTACCTTGTGGCAGACACTGTGGAAACAGTGAAAACACAAGTCATTGTCCCTCCCGTCATAGTGCTTACAACCTAGCAGGAGAAGCAAGTATTTAAAAATGATTTCCAAACAATCAACAAACTGCAACTGAAACATGTGAAACCAAGGAGAAGCACAGGATGCAATAGCAAATTCCCACTGCTATAGAATAAAGTTCCAACCCTGAGAATGGCAAGCACTATTCTTTACCGCCTGGTCTCAATTAATTTACCTCCCTTGTGTTGTAACCATTCATGCCAATTTCCATTGTGAAATCTGCCTGGCTCTCTCACCTCTTTGCCTTTGCTTATGTGGCAGAAGTTTTTCCTCTATCTCCACTTATCAAAGCCCTTCTCAAACACTGAGACCACAAACATACTTCCTCCCGTACAAAACCTTTATTACTGCTTTGAAACCCAGTTTGACTCTGGTCTCTATACTCCCATAAACCTTTGCTTCTACCTCCGTCTGTAGCCCTTCCCTTAGTTTTTCAACAAATATTTATCGAGCTCCTAATTCAAAATACATTTGCCAGCTGGTGCTGATTTCATGCTGCTGTATATTATAGTCGCATAATTGAGTACCTATTACCTCTACCTCAAAAATTGTACTCACAAATTGTAAGCTCATTATTCATCTCTGTATCTCCCATCACTATTTGGAACATAGTAGCTATACAGTAAATATTTGTTGTATTGAATTGGATTTTCCTCATATGGACTATACTATGACAGAAAGATTTTTATAGAAACTGCTTTCCATCTAAAAGATTATACCTCCATAGGTGTGTATATATTCTATTTTTAAAAGATATATTGCTAACAGTGTACCTTACAACAGATAACATTTAAAATTTTAACTTCATGAGAAATGGAATTGAATTTTTAAAAAAATATTTAACTACCATAGTCAATTCTAAAGGTACATAGACTATACCTGATGGCTTTTCAATTTATCACCTGCTGGCTAAATATACTTGATTTTCCCATGGTGTGCTTTGCCCATTCTTTTTATAATATTTACCTAGTCATCATTGTTCTTTATTTTCTTCCAGAAGTGATTGAAGAATTTTTTTTCTTAAGGTGATAGACCCCAGGGGAGTACTTCTGTGCAGTGAAAACATCAATCATATTAACTGCAAATAAATGCATAATCAATTAGATTGACCATTTACTTGTCTAGGCTGGTCTCAAAGCTCGCTTGAAAAATGACTGATTATGCTACAGGTCGGTTATTTTAGTCACATAAATCAGTTCTGAAATTTCAAGTGCAGTTAGAGAGATTTTTTTTTCGTTGTTTCTTCTCCAAAATATTTTAACCAACTTACTTTCCTGGGGTTGGCATTTTAAGCAGACTTTCTGCTTCACAGATTTGGATTTGTCCTTAAACCCAAGTGGGGAAGTGACCAAGCAGATTGGAGACGCCCTGCCCGTGTCATGCACGATATCTGCTAGTAGGAACGCAACAGTGGTGTGGATGAAAGTAAGTAATATTCCTTGCTAATAATAGTCTGCTGTTTGAACTGAGCCCTTCTTAGGCTTCTTTTGCATTCTATGCGCTATCCAAATATGTATATTCATGGGTAATGTCTTTATACTCCCACGTTCATACTCTCTTTCTCTATAGCTAATAATACAAATCATGTCACAATAAAATTTTAGAGGTACTCACCAATAGTATGGCATCTATAATTGATGCTCTGAATCTTAGTTTGGGGGCATTCATTTAACTAGGTGTATATGCTAAGTAGTTATACACATATACACATGCTCAGACACACTCATAGATACATCTGCATTTTTCAGGGCTTAACAAGTTATGATATGTTTTAACATTATTCTCACGTGACAGCTACAACAATCCTGTGAAATATGCAAGACATTAATTATTTCCTCACATTATTCATAAAGAGGTTGAGGTGACAGAAATCAGAAAGCTCCTAAATGAGAGAGTGGAAACTCGAACTTTGAACTTAGTCCTTACTGAGTATAAATACTGTGCTGAAACTAATCCTAAGTGTCTGAATGTGGGTTCTACTGAATTAGTAGCTCTTTGGAGGGACATATCTCTTTTTACCTTTGAGCCTCATTAAAACACCTGGAACATACTAACAGCTTAGTCAGTACCTCCTGAGTGAGTGCTTCCATTTTCTTTAAATTGTCTGAAATGTAGGCCGTTACCTGGACCCAAATACTGCTATATTTTTAGAGTGAGAAAATAGCTTTGGTAATTTGTGATTTGAGACAAAGTTATCACCAAAGAAAATGGTTATAACTGTGATCCCTCCACTCAAATCCTTGGCTAGTAGAGCTAAACACTCAGTGCATTTATCTCCAGAACATAACATATAACAGGATCATTTAACCAGGAATGTGTTGACAAAACACATACAAAACATTTGAAATAGGGGTTGGCAAGTGTTCTCTTTATAAACAATCAAGGAGAAATGCATTGCTAGATTTTCTTCTTGATAAAAATAGCAAATACTTTCTATTTGCTCATTGATCTCTTTTAATGCCAGGTCCTCTGTTACTTGTTCTCTAACTCTTACTTTCTTATTGCACTTTATTTAACCACAACCTTATCACAAATTCTCTTTCACTGAGATAATTAAAGTGTTACTCCATACGCTGCATATATAACATATTTATAGTAGTTGATGGTCAAAGGGATAGATGAATTCTAAGCAACTGACCACTCAGTAACATTATGAGTACTCACAATGCGTTTTACTATAGAATTGAAGAAGCTAGGTTACTTGGCTAAACTAGTTTCTATATCAACTACAGTCGCTGTTGTCAATTGAATACCTAATATCAGTGGTGCTGATCAGTATTGTCTGGCCATTGATTCGCTGATGGGAGAGGGAAAAAGTTCATAGTGGACAAAGACCACATAATCTTAGGATTGTGTTTAGTTGTCCGCTTATGAGCATTTCAATTCCAGGCGAAGTAGCATCATTCTCTATGTATCAAACAACTTTTTAAAATTAAATATTATATTTCTTTGTTCATTGAAATTAGGATAGTAACCTGTTATTAAGGGTTTCTTAAAAAACATTTGTCATAACTGTCATGACTCTGTCATGGAGTCCCTGTTTGATAATTCTATCCTATAAAATAACTTCAGGCTTCTATACCCATCACTGATTATGTAGCACAAGTCTTCAATGCCTGTCATTCCTAGTTCATCTATATTTACTTCAAGGATAGTTACCTTGAATTAAGGACTTTCCTTAGTGTAAACACGTTGTATTGTTTATATAAAGTCCTCATAGCAATTCAATATGGTTGTTGCCTAATTTTACAAATAAGGAAATTGAGTCTCCAAAATTTATGAATTTGCTCCAAGTTATAAATTCTATAAAAAGAAGAGTCTGAAATAATGTCCAATTCTAGAACTACAAAGAAAAAAAGAAATCTGTTTTCTAAGGCTTCTGAAGTTACAAAAAAGGAGCTTGCATTTTCATTAGACCCAGAAGAATAATTTTAGGCTTAATTATTATCTAATAAATACATTGAGAGTTTCTATTGTGCCATGTGAAGTAATTAACTTTTTATTTAATCAGGATAACACCAGGCTTAAATCTAGCCCATCATTTTCTAGTCTCCACTATCAGGATGCTGGAAACTATGTCTGCGAAACTGCTCTGCAAGAGGTGGAAGGACTAAAGAAAAGAGAGTCTCTGACTCTCATTGTAGAAGGTAATAAAATACTTGAACACCCATTCAATTTTTCTTTGAGAATTTGCTATCTGGTTACTTTTATGACCTTCGTTCAACACCTTGTTTTAATTTTAATAATACTTTAGGAAAACCTCAAATCAAAATGACAAAGAAAACTGATCCCAATGGACTGTCTAAAACAGTAATCTGCCATGTGGAAGGATTTCCGAAGCCAGCTATACAATGGACAATTACTGGTAGCGGAAGTGTCATAAACCAAGCAAGTATTTGTCTTCTTGTCATATGCTGCACTTGGTCAAATGTGGCGTTCTTTTAGATACCTAAACTATGGGCTAGCTTGTTATCAGTGTGAAATTTGCAACATGTTCTCAGAGGAAGCTTTTGCTAGATTCTTAATTTCCATAAAGGCAGCAGAACATGGCGCAAAGAGAAATTTTAAATCTCAGAGCCATGGAGAATGACAGAATCATGATGTTCTGGTCAGTATCTGTTTTTAAAAGCACGTAAATCAGGTGCTGTTCCATGGTCATTAATTCCTGAAACTTGTGTCATTAAAACATTAAGGTATGCACTTTTCTGCATCATAAACTTACACATCTGAGTATAAGTGGCCTCCATTACTTTGCTTACTTATGCACATTAAGAGATATTTCTTCTTAAAACTGGGCCCCGGAGTGTGGTGAATACATCACTGTTTCTGAACATATGGGCCGGGGTGTGCATGCCAGGACTAGGGCCAGAAGAAGATTAAATATGTCGTGTCTAGGATGTTTCCTTCTGAAAAAAAGTAAACATAAGCCAAACCTTAATATTCATACCTTTCTCAGGACACTTTAATAATAGTAAAGGGGTAAGAACTTATGAACACAATCAGTAATTTCCTCTTTACTTTGACAAGGGCGGGGGGAGTGAGAGAAAGAAAGAAAGAAATCTGGCTTGTCCCTCGGGGTTCAGAGCTGTATCCCATCAAATTGCCAGTCTGCTTGGGTTATTGAGATCCTAGATAATTCCATTTTCTCTACAACAGTCTTCATGTCCCTCTTCTCAGTACGGCCTGTTAAAGACTTTACAGCAGCACCCAGAGATGCCATTTGCTTACCTGAATCTTCTGTGCCACCTTTTCTCTAGCTTTGGACCCATCTCAAATCTGAGGAGACATGCGAAAAGCAGAGTTGCAATTTAGTTTTAAGTTAAAATTTCTACTCCTTCTCTGTCCAGGGAATTTGGGCCCCTGATCCAGATTATGTAAGCTGGTTTTGCAGAGAGAGGTGAATTTTGGCTCTTTTATCTACGGGTGATGCATATATATTTGCATAACTCCAAATATGGAAGGTCCCTAAAGCAAATGACTACTGATTTGGTTAGGTGTGAAGGGGAGACACAAGAGACCATATGTAAGCAGGACCAAGAGGCTCTGAAAGGAAATGTCATTTTCTTGACTCAGAAAAAAGACCTGAACCACCTCAATTGCTGACAATGTACAGGTTAATTTTTTAGCATCAAAAATGACTGTTTCTTTTCTGCTGTTTTTCCCACTTTTGTTCAACGAAGTAATAATTAAAGCCAAAAAACCCCATTGGTATAGGTAATATAAGTATAGAAATAGAAAAATAAGCACAGAATAAATACTTAATGAATGAAAAGATACAAAGATTTGAAAGGTCTTCCTGGAAATGGGTAAATATATTTTGTAGAGATAAAAATAACCAGAAGAAAGACTCAGTGAGAAAGTTATATGAAAAATACTAGTGGAAAATGGTAAAATAACAGGTGAACTTACTATGAGGATAAAAATAATAATGCCATTCTTCATTGTCAAGGAGAAGAATTGATTTTGGCCCACTGGGTGATGTGTTATTTTTCTTGTTTTAGGTTTGTGCTGATACACATAATCTTTTATTTGTTCCCTCCACAATCACATGATGAATCTATTATTTTACAACTTCTGAAAACTGTGCCTCACCCCTGACAAAGGGACTAGACAATATTCCTAAACATGAAACTAGCTCTTGTTCTCAAGGTCCTTACATTGTAGTCAAAGAGAAAGTAAATAGAGACCAATACATGGTGTGTATAAAAAGGTGATCGGGAAAAGAGCGCAAGTACACATTTGCTTTGGTCATGATGGATTTAGGAGTCAGGTCCTGGGGAAGAGATTAAAGTAAATTGTTTCATGTTTGGAGGAATTAAATGCAGTGATTGTCCTCATTAACACTTCACAACAAGCAAATGAATTTACCAATACCTAAAAAAGAATCCATCCTCTATATTTAGCTCAGGAAAATTGAGAAAAAATTAGATTTCCCATGAGTAAAATCCTATATAAATATGTACTTAGATATAATGGTCTAAGATAAAGGAATTAACCCCTGTTGTGAAGAACATTGTCATAGTTTACAAATAAGAACTAAATTCATTAGTTTATCAAGGGAAAATTGGTGATTAATTGTTAAATAATTATTTTGAGACAAGTACTCTCATGACAAAATATTAAATAACCTGAGCATTTATTTTTAAAAATTAATAATAAATATTTTTTATTAGTTTATAAATTTAATTAGTTTATAAGTAAATTTAATTATTAGAATTTATAACAGAAGCATAAACAGGAAACCAGTTATGAGTTTACTACATTTTTCCTCTCTGCTGTGGGTGTAAGCTTTAAGTGATCTATGTCTGTGACCTTCCATATACCCTTGATCACCAGATAGCACTGCAGAGCACCACACCTATCCTGGCTCACTCAGTATTATTCTTTCCCATGTTTTTAATCTATTTCCATTTCTAAATCCATATTCTTTCTTTTCCAGACAGAGGAATCCCCTTATATCAATGGCAGGTATTATAGTAAAATTATCATTTCCCCTGAAGAGAATGTTACATTAACTTGCACAGCAGAAAACCAGCTGGAGAGAACAGTAAACTCCATGAATGTCTCTGCTAGTGAGTATTTCATTTCTGGCCTTAAAAAGTAAGAAAATTTGAAGTTATTCTTCATTAGTTTAAAATCTTCAATTCCGTCTTCCTATACTGCATCATGGTGAGTTTTATTTATTTTGCAGTTGGTATCATCATCATAAGGTACTTTTTTTTTATTATTATTTCTTGTGTCCATTCTTGTACAATCCTTGTTCTGACAACTAAATCATTTCATGTTTTATGGGTCAAAGACCTTAAACTTATATAAGAATATTTCCCAAGATCAACAGAGGATATGAACTGAATTGCTACTATTTAATCTGCTTTGTGTTCAGAATACAGATAATTCAAAGATTTTCTTTAAACATTTCTATAACAGTTTTAATTTTGGCAAAATTTAAATTATCTTTATTATTTTGCATTTCACTTCTTTGTGGTACTTATCCTACTGTTATTTTGTACAGGAATGCCACATGTTTAAAGCCATTCAGCAAATTGGTAGTAAAACAAATGTTAGAATTCATGAAATCTAGTTTTAAAAATTGATGTTTTTGAATATCATATTTGAATCATAGCTAAAAATCAGATAAATGATATTATCTCAAAAAACGTGAAAAAAATCTATCAATGGTGAATTCAGCCAACACATACAAACCAAAAGCAGGTTCTTCTGAAAACAGTTATCATTTATTTGAAATTATTCATCATCTTTAGTTCTGTCATTGTTCCTATTACTGTGTCAACCTTAAATCAGGACTGGCCTAAAACGAAGCCCAGTTGGAATACTGTTTGTGACATTAGCAGGCAGGAATATACTGAGTAGCAATTAGCTGGAGCTAGGAGAAAATAATTGTCTCAAGATAATGGTTCTTAACAGATGAGACTGGACTATAAAATTATGCTGAACTAACAAGAAAAACAAGCAAACAAATTTAACTCTCAAATAAGAGCATTGACTTCTCTGAATTTAATTCAGCAGGTATTGATTTATCCCACCTAGAAAGAGAACTTACTCTCTTTCTTCCTGAACACAGGTCTCTCTTTTTATTTTAACCTATTGAATTGTGGTTTCCTAGACTTTGCAGGGTCTTGATCAGCAGTTAATACAGCCGTTTTCCAATTCAGTGAGCACCTCTGGAGATTCCAGTTTTTATGAGGAAGGGTCTGGGAATCTGCAGTTTAACAAATATCACTGGAAGTTCTGATTCAGGCCCATGCACAGAAGAATATTTATATATTTTAGCGTTAGATAGTAATGCATCACATTGGGGATTCTTAAAATGAGCCAGGTTGATGGCTCTATCAGAGTTATTTAGAGGTTTTTGCTTCTAATCACATATGTTGCCTCTTAACCTCCAAGACATCCCCAGTTTTAATCTCCAGTGCCACTACTTTAAGTCAGGCCCTAGTGGTAAGTCCCTGACACTGAAGAGGAAAATTAATTCTCTTCTATCAAGGCAGGAATAATTGAGAAAATTTGAGAAACACTACATTGTATATTTCATATGTGGCAACTTGTTTCTCTTTTTAAAAAGGTACTATCAAAAGGTGGTAGATTGTGGGGAAATTACTATGAGTTTTAGGTTAATACTATAGCTCGTCAGTGGTGAACTTTTCTATGGTAGATTAATGCCTTTGCAGTTTTACTACTCTCCTTTCCTTAAGAGAAGATTAATTTCCTTGTAGGGAAGTTCACGCTCTATTAAATGTAAATTTTTTCTACCCTTAACTGTAGAATAGATATTTTATCTTTGAGTATTATTACATCATACTATAATAGTAAAGGTGACTTTCATTTATCAACAAGTTTTGTTTTTAATTTCATATTAACATTTTTCATTTCAGTAAGTATTCCAGAACACGATGAGGCAGACGAGATAAGTGGTAGGTACTACGCTGCCGACTCTTCTCCCTTGACTATCAGCTCAAGATTTATGAAGTGTCATTGTTCAAGTAATTTCTTAGCCTCTGCAATTTTGACTTGAATTAAAATAGCAAATGAAACAAGATAGTAAGAATGCTAAACTTTTATCCTTTAAATTCACAAGTTTGCATGTTACTAACATAGTGAAACTTCATCATTTTTAATAAAAAATAATAACTAGATTGACTTCTTTTCAAAAATCTTTTCTGTTATCTATAATTGCATGGGTTTCTCTTCTTGTTGTAGATGAAAACAGAGAAAAGGTGAATGACCAGGCAAAGCTAATTGTGGGAATCGTTGTCGGCCTCCTCCTTGCTGCCCTCGTCGCTGGGGTCGTCTACTGGCTGTACATGAAGAAGTCAAAGTAAGTTGTGGGGGGAAAACCTTCATTGTTCATTGACTTCCACTGGGGGAAAATGCAGTATCTTCATTCTGTTCACTCCAGCTGGGCATGTAATTTCTGCGACAGGAAAAACTTCCCACCCACATCAGGCTGACCCTGTGTAGCTTTCAGTTCAGTGATGACATTAGCAACACTGGGGACATGGCTTGGGGTATGATTTCATGTGTCTTGTTATTTTTCTCTGTCAATAGTCTAAATTCAAGTATTCAATTTTTTTTCAATGCCTGGGTGGATTTTTTTTAAAGCATATATTGCGTAAAAGTCAACCATTCTAAACCATTTGTTGGAGGTTGGTAGAGATTAATTAAAAGTGGCTAGTACATCGTGAAGGTCTGGCCAGATGTCTTTGCAGTGACAGGTCTGGCCAGCAGTGAAACTGCCGGTGAGTTAGAATTATATTGTTGTCACTGGTCCTCCATTCTATTTAGGTCACTTTGCTTCATAGAAGGATCTAATTCAGAGATAAATCCGTCATTATTTTGTCTTGAATTTTAAAAAAATTGATTAGACAAAGTACCAAGACTACTTTAAAAATGATTTAGACGGTGTTGTGGTTTAAACTTATTAATCAAAAAATAATACAGATGGTATCAAACTTACAAACCATCTAACGGTTCTTTATAATGAGAACCCAATTAGCTAATGAGGATTCTCAGCACACACACGGGCCTAGTACTTATTCCTCATCACCCCAGCCCTGATCTTATACTCTCATGTGATTGGGCAGAGATGGAGTTTCTACCATTTACATTTTTAAAAGGTTTGATTGGTGGTTCTGTGGTATATTGCTCATTTCAAACATGGGTTTTAAATCCTCTTTTCTTATAAATGACGGCATTGTCTTTTTCAAGGAGATGTATATAGCTACTGGCAACTTTGGAATTAATTTTATATTTTCTCATTTTCTAATATAGCCCCTTTGAACAACTCAGGCAAGTTAGCTTTAGAGAAAATCCAAAGAAAAAATAGGCTCAGGATTCATGATCTTACCCTAGAAAGATATTAACAACCTCACTGGGGCAATATTCTAATGGAGCTGCTGTCACAGGGAGGCAGCAGCTCTGAAATTTTAAAGTCACATGATATGAGCATGTGTTGAACTCTGTTTTGTTCTCATAACCCATCTTTGAAGTAGACACTATTATTATTCATACTTTACATTTTAAAAAAAAGGCAAAGAAGGGTTAAATGACTCGCATAGTTGCTAAGGGACAGAATCATATTTCACCTAAAACAGCAATGTTTTAGAATCTTTGTTTTTAATCACTAGGTCTTACTTTCTCTGACTCTTTAATCACTAGGCCTTAGTTTTTCTCTTTTTTCACCACAGAAGGCAGGAACATTTTCCTGATGTGTGTTGAAGTTTCTGTACATGATCACTCTCACTTTGGGGTGCAGTTACTTGTGCTATGGGCACTTTGCTCCTCGGTCTTGGGCAGTTCCCACCATCACATGATAACACATGTGTTCTTTTTCTCAACGAATGTTTTGCCTACAACTTCGTGTGGGTCTGTGGTTCCATGGAAAATTTAGAAAACTGCCTAACCCATGAAAGAGAAAGGAAATTCAAAGAGTTGCCCAGAGGCAGTATCTGTCATAAAAATTCTCTATCTATGTGTATGTTTCCTAATAATCAAAATCTTATCATCCTTCCTTTACAATTTACAATAAAGTACTCAAAAATCTACATCTTGGGCTCTAGGGTATTTCTATCTTATTTACTTAGGATCTCTGATGCATTCCAAGTAATTTCATTTACTAAAAGAATGAAAATAAAATTTCCCTCCATTCTGAAATTGAGCCGATATATAAACTGCTGTACTCTGCATTATGATCAAATGATTGTTAAGTTCTTAGAGTATCCCAATGTCCTTAATCACCCTGATCTAATTACCAGAATCTCATAAGACACCATTTTCCCTTCAAGGAATAGAAGAAATTTATGCACGTATATGGGGCAGGGGGTTTGTTACTTCATTGGTTATTACCATGTGGTAACCCAAAATTAAAATCATGGATCAGTGCTGGACTCTTGGGTTTATAGTGTCTACAGGTTAGTGGTTAAGACTTCCTGAATTTCCTTTTAAATATCTCATTAAATTAAATGTATTTTTTACCATCCACCTTAAACATTCATTCAGGTAACTCTTACTTAATTGAAAAGTACACCAATTTTTCTAGGGTTAACATTATTGGTAATCAAAGTAATAAACTGGAGTTCTCATCCCAAGCATCAAAGTGTTTTTATTAAAAATTTGTGGCACTCTTCAGATTTCCTAAGTATGTCGCATTCCTGATTATTCTTAGCAAGTTATTAATTGCTAAGGTCCTCTGAGATAAGCCAGCATTTTGGAAATATCAGCTATTGTTAATCTCTTTGTCCAATTTCATATATAACATCCTTTAAGTTCAGAATTTCTGAAGCATTTTTGGCTTTACTATATTCTCTTTCTTTTCTTCTAGATTATTCCTTCAACTTTACAAATTTATTTAAGGATTTCATTTCTACCTGTAGCTAATTCATCACCATATTACATGCATATGAGAATTGTTTAATAAAGGTACTGTTCAGAACTTCCTCCAGATACCTAAAGAAATATAGCCTTGTATTTACCATCCTACAAAATAAAACCATCAATAATCTTACTCACCCATTGTTGCAAACAACTTTAAGCAACAATTAGGAGTCAAACATTTGATTTAAAAGCCTCAGTGATGCAACTAGTCAACTGGTGAAGTTCGCGAAACATTCAGGGGAAGTTTTTTGTATTGGCAATTTAAAAACTCATCTAAGAAAGATGAGAAAAACAAATCTTTCACGCCCAAATAAAATTTAAGAGTACCTTTGTTAACATACCTAGTAGCCACCCAGTTAAAATGCACTCCCCACTGCATTACTGTGACCTATGTATTTTTATATCTATTTTAAATATGGAGACCTACAACAAGAATTGCTTAGTAATGGAGCTTAGCATTTTGAAATGATATATTTATAGCAGAGTAAGGGCTCATGATTCCTCTGCTGCTTTGATACTTACAGCTTCTCACTGGGAGTTTTGTAAAACTGGAGATTTTTTTTAATAATAAGAATGGATGACTCTGATATTTTCCATGTATGTAACGTCTCAACTAATAGTTCCAGGCAAAAAGGCATTAATTGACTAAGCCCATTCCATGCCTGGTTGTTTAACAGGTAAGAGAACATTAAAGAAATAATTTAAAATGTTTTAAATAATTTATTCCCTTTCTTTTCCACCTGTCCTTGAGCATTGTTTTTAGCTCTGCAGGAAGTTAAATCTGACTGTTGGAGTTCCAGATCCTTTCCTGTATATCTTATAATACAAGAACTAATGAAAAATTAAAAGAGCCAAAGATAAAGGAAAAAGGCAACATGATGTAGCCACAAACTTGTTCAGTGGTTTATTAAAACCATAATTTTCATGTTGGTTGCATTTAAGAGACCCCTGACCACCATACTTCTTATCACTAAACTGGGAGTAAGCATTTACCAGACATTAGTAATCTCAAAATACACATTGTCTGAATATTGGAAACTTACCAAGAGATTTATCTTTTTCAATTGTGGGACTCATGACTATTTTCATGAAAATTAGTGGGTAACATATATATAGGCAATCTGGACATCTAAAAATTCAAATATCCTCTGTTAGTTCTACTTTTATATAATGCTATATTATTCCACTACAATCTCAAGGGAAAAAAAAAACAAAACAAAAAAGACAGTTCTAAATTGGTGAAGGACTGAAGAGGACTTGCCTGTTACACTGAAAAGTTAAGAAACAATGTTATATTAAGCCTCTAAAACCCTTCTCATTAGTATTTCTTGATACACAGAATAGGATCTCACAAGAAGGTTGATTTTAACTGAATTCTATTTCCAGTCAATGCTCACTATGATGAGGAAAGATCGACTCCCTACTGAATAAATTGAAAAGATAGTGCTGGAGGTCCATTTATATAACATTCTTAATCTTTCCTCATGTATCGCTACATATGCACCTACTGTTCCTTTTTTTCTTGTTTTTGTTCCTGAAATCCTCAACAATGTAATGGGGTTGTATAATTAATCCTATTTCATAGTATCAAAGGTTTAGAGAAATTAACCTGCCCAAGAGTATTCCGTGTCCCATCCATCTTCAAATATATTTTGGTGACTCCTCAGGACTCTTTTGGAATTAAAAATTTATCTCTGACTTTGATGTCCTGTGGGCATTTAAAATAGTGCTTGGGATGGAAGGGTGTGTTCTGAAGTTGGGCTCACCCAAACTTTGGCTTCGTTCTCTCTATCCATTGTCTGGCGAGGAGCCAGAAGGAAGAAAATAAAATTCCCCATTGTCCCATCAAACCATAAATGACAGAGTAAACTTAGAGGGGAAATAAAATGATCTGGAAATGCTGAAGTCCCCATCTAGTCAGTCAAAAGGTCACTGGCTACTCAAAGGGAAGAACTATCCCTCATTGCCCTGTCCCCTACTATATGTGACCCAAATATTTCCAGAGGAAAGGGCTTATATCAAAATACAAGGTTTTCAATTTTTTTAAATTTCTTTTAGCTGTCTATATATATGAATTTTTTTTTATTTCAAGGGTTTGTTTAAATTATCTTTTTAAAGGTGAAGGGAAGTCCTGTTTCCTGAGTACCTGCCATGGCCAGGCTGCATGCTGTCCTGTCCCAGCATCAGTCATCTTAACAATATACTTCATGCCATGATTCTGAATAAACGCAGATAGCACCCTGTTTTATGCGTACTCAGTATTTTTATGTTTTATTTTGACTGCCCCTTCTCTCAAGTGGATGGTCCCCATATTTAGTATTAGCCTGGATGAAAAGGCCATTTTCTATTTCCTACTGAGGACAGAAGGGTTTCCTCTTTATCTGGAGAGTTTCTTTGGAGAGTCAGAAGTTCTAAGGGCATTATCTTGAAAGTTGCAATAAGACC